AAAAAAAAAAAAAAAAAAAAAATTATATATATATTTTGACACAACCAATAAGACTCGCCTCCTTTCTAAGATTAGTTATATTAAAAAGCAACTAATGTCACATTCTAGTAACTTAGGCCACACAGCTTTCTAATGTCATGTTGTAGTAACTTAGACCACACAGCTTTCAAATAATCAAAACCAACTAACTCAAACGTGCTCTGCTCCCTGTTTATTTTCAATGACTTCACTAAATAAGCAAAGATAATGGATTTAATATTGCTAAAAAACTGCTTTGAATTCCAATAACAGTAACTGGAAGTAGAAAATAATGTATTACGGTTTTAAAAATTCTTACTTTAATATTAAAATGGCAAAGAAAGTATTTAAGGAAATACACTTAGAACTGCATGGCAAATTCATTTTTTTAAAGTAACATATATATATATATATATATATATGTTATGTTTACAAGAAAATATAGAGAAGATTAGAATTTTTAAAGTAGTTAAAGAATAAATATCACAAAATATTTTATTTATCTGTACTTTAAGCCTGCAATACCTTTCCATATACTTATATGCACTATTTGCATATATCCAAGGATACTGAAGTTTTATCCACCTTATTTTAATGTGAATTCACACCTTTTGAACAGTGGTATTAATTCCTGGCTTGTATGTGCCTGCTATTGAGATCATGACCACTAAAACAAACCTACATAGCACTTTTGTGTATTCTTAAAATATATTATTACATTACGCGAGACAAAGAAATTTAACCTTCAAAGGTCTCAACTCCTACACAAAGAAATGCAGATTAACCAAGAATTTTTTTCCACCTCTAAAACAAGACAGTATAAACATCTAACCCTCTACAAGGCTCAGAAAGAAACTTTATACGAGTATAAAAGGCTGCAAGTTAGCTTTCCTTAAGCAAGCCAAAACCCACTTGAAAAGTGTCTGGATAAACCATCAGCACATGTTGAGATTTTACAGTGTCAGTCTACTTCGGAAATCCAGAAACATACTGGCAAGTGCACCAGATTGGAAACATTAGGCACCAATGTTTACCCTGACTACCTCCTATTCATAATTTCATTTGCAAACTTAATATGTACTCATGCAGACATCCTAGTAACTTCAAAGCAGCTGATGAAGTCAAGTACACTGACGTGTCTTGAAAAAAGCAACTGTGATTCTCTGGCAATCACTCCATTGAGGCTACTGCCATGGTAACGAGTACTGCTGATTGCAAGTGATCAGGAAAACGGCGTGTGCCATCAAGCTTACTAAGCTGAACATGCACATGTGCTACCAACACCAGAACTGCTGCAGTAATTTATTTTTCATATTTCTCCAGTTCTAAGCCATTTTCCCCTTATTCTCCAGGACAAAGAGAAGCTGTTTCACGCTGGATCTGCAAAGGTTACAGGGACAATTAGGAATTCCTAACACTTCTTCAGTACACCAAATTGTGAACTGCTTGGCTCAGGACTGTGCACAAAGCAAAACAGTGTTAAAAAAAATGAGATGTAATGATTCCTGCAAAGTACACCTCCTCAAAGCAGAGACTTATCTACTGCATCTCTCATCTCTGCTGCATCACTTCATCAGAATCAAAGAGTTCATCAATCTAGATCTTGGTTCACCATAGTATAAAGAGTCGTCACTGTCTAATCTGAATCTAGGTCACAATGAACAATTTTAATAACCAGCATTTTGAGTATATCAGGTCAGAAGTTTTGGTTCTTCTCAGCTGTGCTTCAGCAAAAACACTTTGGAAATATCCAGTCTGCAATGGGACATTACATTTTCTCTGAAAGATCCTCTCATTTTCACTAAGGTCATACAATTGCCTTTTAAAGTTTACTTTTTCACAAGCAGTAGTTGAGCATACGAAAATTTTTTTAAGAAATACAGGACAACGTCTCAGTATGACTGCACAGAGCAAAGTTCAGGAACCCTCACTGCATGAGTTGCCACTGAAGTGAAGGGATGAGCAAGGTCATCCTTTACACCTGCACCAGGAAGTCTCCATATCAGTAACAAGCTTTAGGATTTAAGAAGTAGCTCTAGGAAAATTAAGTTTGTTGACCAATCTAATTTAGATTATAGAAAAAAAAAAAAAAAAAAAAAAAAAAAAACCAAACCTTAAGAAAAGTGGCAAAATTTTACAGTTATTGAGTCAAGATGCCTTCTTCAACTTATTTCCATTACCCTGCTTTGACCTAGGCAGGTAGCAAATTTGGGGGTTGGCACAGGTTTCCACACCTCAGCCATGATCAGAGTACAGGATGTTCTGCTTTTGTTCAGAGGACAAAAACTGAGCAAAAGACCCTGCATACATGGCTCTTGGCTCCTTCATGGATAATCCAGAGGCTCAGCTTTTCACAGGCCATGCTCCCAGCACACTGACTCTGGTAGTGCCTTGGGCTCTTCTGATCATCCATTGTGGACCAACCTACACAACCCATGGCAATGCTTCCAACTCCCTCTGCTTTGCATGCTCCTACTCCTGACCTTCACAGAAGGAAGGATATCCCTATGCCCATGGTGGAAAGCAGTATTATTTCAGCTGATTCTGCAGCAGAGCTTATTTGTCTTGTACTGATAAACTCAAGGTCTGTAGTTAAGCTCAGCCCAAAACAATGAATCTGCAACACCTCACCTCATTGAGTCAAGGATCCATTCATGCCAGAATCCATGTAAAGGAACTCAAAGCCCAAAACATAGTTGGTATCAACAAATCTGATTCTCTACTTGCTTATAAGGAATACAAGCAAAATCCTCACTCAGAAGATATGAGTGTATCAATGCAGAAAGTTAAACAAAATAACATGGGAAGAATTATTAGAGGCACAGAGCTGGTACTGGTGCTCTTTTCACTGAAGATTTCTTGTTAAGTAGCAACTAGCCAGGCCTGAACAGAAAGCACATTCAGAAAATGAAATATTGCTTGTAGTCAGAAATGCCTAAAGTAAACAGTTCCACTGAGGCCAAGGAAAAACCTCGTTATTTCTGTTGGCAGAGTAAGTGAGGTATGAAGTCCAAAGAATGAATTACAGTAAAGAAGACATGTTCCAAGTAGATGTACATAAACTGTAGGAAGCTATCCAGTAAATCATTGCAAGTTACTCCACAATACTGGCTTTAAGATTTAACTGCTCTCCAACCACGTTTTAATTACTAACACTATAAGGAAAAACTTAGACAACTTCTTTTCCTCAGGTAAACTTTACGTTGGAGTGCAAACACAATTTCAGTAGAACACCATTCGAATGTTGAATCTCCAAAGCAAAATTAAAATTAATTAAAAACAATCTGAAAGTTATTACAATTCCAGCAATAACTTTTAAAATTTATATTCCAGTCCATAACCTGTTTATTGTCCAGAAATTCTTTCACTTTGTCCTTTCATTACAAAGATAACAAGCCACTATGTCTTTCATGCTATCCTCAACACAACCTTCCAAGATCTGTACTCATTCAAATCTTCAATATAGAACAGAAATGAAACAGTTGCTGGAAACAATTTGTTAAGAATAACCAGAATGTTCTGAATTTCAGTACAAGCCTCACATTTCCACATTGTAGATCTTTGCATTTATTCTGCATAAAATTTACTGAGTACAAGCTGAGATATCATAAAAAGATGCTAAAGGCATCATGCTTGTAGCCAAAGAGAGAAAATAAGTTCCACAATATTGGATATATACACACACGTCATGTGTATGTTTGTCCTGTAAGAATTCTGAAGATCAAACTGATATCCAATCTCAATTACATCAGATTTATTGTATAGAAACACATTTACATATACAATAGATATCTCTATCATCCTTCACAAGCTAAAGCAGTGTTGACTACCTCTCTGTATCTCTCAGAAAATAGTAACTGTAACCATGTTACAGTTAACTATTAACCTCTACTCGTAAGAGCAATTGTTAAACTAATACAAAGCAAGGTTTTTTTTGCAAGTCTGCAGATAAAAATCTAAAACAGCTAAAGAGTTTTTCTACCTCCTCAAAAATTCTAATTATTCACTTGAATCTTGCATGATTCAAAAATGATTCATTCACTCTCAATGAACAGAGGTAAGAATTTGGAGGGCTTCTGGGGATGGCATAATATTCAGTTATACTGGGGAAACCTATAGTAATATGTATGCATAAAAACATTTCTAAAAGTATTGATTTTCCAGTAAATTAAAATTCCATCTTCACAGTTTCATATACCAGGAGAAATGTCCTGAAGTGTCTACAAAAATATAAAATTGCATACTGAAGCTGCTTTGCCTCAGAAATCACTATACACCTCTGTGAACTGCATTCAAAAGGGTTTTTATTCTTACCGTTACTGTTGACAGGTCTAGTAAGTCTAAATCACAAATACTGCAACCAGTTTCCCGCGTCCAAGCATTAGGAATATAGTTTCCCAAATAATTCAAGTGAATCTGGTAAAAAAATTAACAATTCAGATCAATGAAAGGTGCGTGCAAATGGTAATTTGTACCTTTTAAAGAATTCAGGCTTACTCATTGAATCTCTTGTACCTACAGGCAATTGACTGTCTTTATAATTTAAGATTAAAAAAGCAAACAAACAAATGTTCAAAGTAGCTGGTAAAAGCTTTTTCTTCTTTTTATTTACAAGACAGAGATTCCATTCTCCTAGCATCTACATTTATTGCTTCAGTTAAACCAAAAATTTGTTGTATAACAACTACCAACTAAATGCTTGTATGATTTCCAAGACACAGGCTATAGATCATTCAGCTCTCAAAAGCTGCTAGGTGCAATTTCAAGCCAAAAAAACCCAAACCAAACCAAAACAAACAGAAAAGCCCTATATTTCAATTCTTTTACCAAATCTGAGTATCATCAACACTTTAGACAAAACACAAAGAGTGACCGTATGAAAAACACATAGAGAATATAGAAGATAAATGCTCAGAAGATGTATTTTTGACAAGCAGTGTCAAGATTCAGAAGCCAGGCAGGGGGATACATTTTAAAGCAACATCTAGCTTCTTAACACATTTTGAATTTGCACTGAACAAAATATGTACTTTTTTTTCCTATCGATGGGCTGCCTGGGCTGCTCTGCCCTCCTGGATTCCAGGGGAAGTTTGCACAGGACTTCACTCTTCACTGCCATTTGCGACGGTTAAGGGATCTCTTATGCTGGGGAAAGTTTGCCTGAGGGAAGGCTCCTATTAATTTCTGTTCTACTGCCCTGACAAAAAACTGGAAGGATAAAATATTGTTTTGCAGAGAAAACACACTCCAGTCCAATACTCAATCTGCATTTTATCATATTTTCTAGACAGATCTGAAATAGAATTGCTTGAACTTAATTTCAGAGATCAATAAAGCTCACAAGCCATGGGTATATTGCAGGCAGTGATCAATGACACTGAAGATGCAACAACAAAAGCCAGCCACACGTGTGTACATACACACACTTATATGTATTTCTCCCTATATACAAAGTATTTTTAATACACGGGTGTACTGGGTCTGGCTGGAATGGAGTTGATTTTCCCTGTAGCAGCCCTCAGAGTGCTGTGTTTTGTATTGGTGGCTCGAGGGGTGCTGATAACACCCCAGTGTTTTGGTTACTGGTGAGCAGTGCTAGCACAGCATCAAGGCTGTCTCTCCAACATTTCCCCCCCAGTAGGCTGGGGGTGGGGAAGGTCTTGGGAGGGGACACAGCCAGGACAGCTGACCCAAACGGACCAAAGGGATATTCCATACCACATGACGTATGTTCAGAAATAAAAGCAAGGGGAGCAGAGGGGGAAGGGGGGGCATTCGTTACTCCCGTTTGTCCTCTGGGAACCGCAACACGTATGAAAACCCTGCTTCCCGGGAAGCGGCCAAACATCTCCTGCTGATGGGAAGTAGAGAATAAATATTTTGTTCTTTTGCTTCTGCGCACACAGCTTTGCTTTGCTTCTATTAAACTGCCTTTGTCTTGATCCACGAGTTTGGGTTTTTTGGTGTTCCACCTTATTTTCTCCCCTCTCCGTCCTGCTGAGGAGTGGGGTGACAGAATGGGCTTTGGTGAGCATCTGGCATCCAGCCAGGGTCAACCCTCCACAACGGGTATACAAAAACACACCAAGGTCTGTGGTAGTATCTGTGGTAGTATCAGATATGTTACAGTTTTGTACCCCAGCCTGTGACTTTGGGTTAGATTTTTCTCCCCCTGAAAATCTATTCTTCTGATTACCATCTAACGACCAGAATGACACTGTTCAATAGCTTCAAGAACTGTTTTGTGACAGTGAACAAATTAACATATGCTTATTCGCTTCTAATATCCCATGCTACAATGAATTTGGGGGCAGAACGAGTTGCTTCAGCAGCGATACCAAGTTACAGTGATAGCAGAATAACATGATGGAAAGAGAAATTAGAATGGGTTTTTATCCTTGCAATTCTTATCAACATTAATTGGAAATGAGCAGTGCTATGACCATTCCAGAATCTTCCACCATTGTTTTTGCCTCTATTAAAACTACCATCTTTGCACAAAATACAAATTGTCACTCACTTTAGTTGGACCATTTCCATGAATGGTGATCGGTAATGTGTCATACACTGAATTCCTTGCTCTTACTTTTCCTTCTTCAAATTTCAAAAGGACTTCATCTGCAAATCAACAAATAGTGACAGTTTATAAATAAAAGCTAAGATTTCAGAATCCTTCAAGTTCTTGCCGACACAATATACCTTGCTGTTGCTATCATTGTCTATGTTATTTATTTGGAAGCTTTCCTTCATTTTTTTAACTAAATCTTTAATTTTAAGCTCTCTATGTTAAGTAAGGTTACATCAAGCTTCAGAGTACCATTATCAGCCTTCAGTATTTGAATAAAATCAATTTTAAATATTAAATTAATTTTGTGAAAATGCTATTTATAGAGAAATCATAGTTATTTCAGACATGATCTGACTATAAAAAGTTGTTCCATAATTGAAGGTTAAAGGTAAGGAAGTAAGTTTGCACAGATACCATTTTTCAATTTAAATTCATGACAACTGAATAAAAGTGATTCTACATTATTCCATATTCCATTTCATTATGTAGAGTCATTTGCTTAAGAACATCTAAAATGCAATTTTAATTACCAATCATACTCCTGTGAATAAGTTTGTGAAAGGCAGATGGAAAAATGGTTATTAATTTTGTGTTTAGTGCTAATTTCATTTATTGAAACTATTTTTTCCATTTTAAATAAAATATTTTGTCAAGGGGGTAAATCAATTGATATTAAACCCAAAAGACATGTAACTCATCTGGTAATCAGGTTTACCCATCCAAACATTTCTTTAAAATAAGCATATGTTTAGGGAACAATATTCATGGTTAAGCAAAGAAAGTGTTAACAACAGTTAATAAAACATATAATGTGCAAATCATACACTTACCAACAGCTCCATTTAAAGTCTGGAAAATTGTACATTTGTGGTCCAAAGTAATGTTAATGCGCTCCTGAAATAAAAGTACCAAACATGTTAAGGCATTCTAAAAGCCAATGCTTTTATGGTAATGTAGCAGTTATACTGCAGTGTCAGCAAGTAATCAGGCAAAACTACTCTATGTATTCAGCTCTCAGATATAATTCTTAATTTTACATTATTAATTTCTTCTTATATTCCTGAGTTGTGCAACTGTATAGCCATCAGTTTTATATATGCAAAAACTTTATCTAAACTTGAAGGATAAAGGTCATAACTCTCCAAAGAAACTACAAGTTGTCAGTATAAGCCAAAGGAAATTTCTGTCTTATCTTAAAAAAAATAAAAAATTAAGAAGTCTTGACCAAGCAACAAAGCATACAGTGTTTCACATGTCAGAATAGAAAACACCAGTGGTTTTACAACATGTTCCTAATATTGCATTATTAATCCTACCTACATTCTTATTTAAAGTATTATGTTTTGAAGTCTTAACATGTTGATCAAAGTATATAGCCTTTAAAACAGACTTAAAAACCCTTAAACAGATAACATATTCTGTTTTGGTCTTCCAAGGTTTTGTTTCATATTCTACAGCATTAGATATTACCATGCAGTGAATTAGTGCTAATGTATAGTACAGTAACCCAAGTTAAGCACCATGGAGGCATTTTGAATCACAGGGCAGTAGTGAACTGTGCAGAGCTACACATTTTTTGTCTAGAAGAAATCTGTTTAGGCAGCTAATTATATTATTACTGGCTTTGGTGCAGAGTCAGCTTTAATGTTTCTACACACTGCCCTTTCAGTTGCATATCTAGCATCTGATTTAACTTGCATAAAATCAGTTCAAACGTTAAGGGACGGAAGGAACGTCCTATGAAGAGCAGCTAAGGGCTTTGGGTTTAGAGAAGAAGGTTGAGGTCAGTGACCTCATTGCTCTCTACGACTTCTTGAGAGGGAGGTGCTGACCTCTTTTCCCTGGGATATAGCACCAGGACATGTGGAAATGGTTCAAAGCTGCACCAGGGAAGGTTCAGAATGGGCATTAGGAATCACTTCTTTACCAAGAGGGTGATCAAACACTGGAACAGGCTTCCTAGAGAGGTGGTCAATGCCTCATTCCTGTCAGTCTCAAAGAGACATTTGAACACCCTTAATAACATAGAATCATAGAATCGCCTGGTTAGAAAAGACCTCTGAGATCACTGAGTCCAACCATACCTGTCCACTACTAAACCACATCTTTGATCACCCCATCTAGCCATCTTTCAAACACCTCCAGGGATGGTGACTCAACCACCTCCCTAGACAGCCCATTCCAGTGCCTGAGAACCCCCTTCAGTGAAGATTTCCTGACATCCAATCTGTACCTTCTCCTGGCGTAACTTAAGGCCATTGTCTCTTGTTCTGTCCTCACTAGTGTTCCATCACTAGTTTCATAAGCTTCAACTTTTGGTCAGCCCTATATTGGTCAGGCAATTAGACAGCTGATTGTTGCAGTTCCCTTCCAACTGAAATACTCTATTCTATTCTATTTCTGTACCTGTCTCTAAACATGCCTGGTGTTTCAGGCATAACTTAATGGAAAAACACATATGCATCCGCCTTAAGCATACAAATGCTCAAAATCAACCTTAAAATTCTGCAGTATCAGCTTGTGAAAGTCTTTTCGCATCACTACATTGTTAACTTTCCTTAGCCCTTTTTTTCCAGCATCAGGGCCATGCCTCTGACATCTATCATGCTTTAATGCTGCTACTCAGCAGAGAACTTTGTTAAGCTAGGGCACAGAGAGGTCTTCACCAAAAATTTATGACACAGCTTTATTGAACTTTATCTGTACAAAAAGCTGAAGAGTCAGAGGTAGCCTCAGGCAGGATCTGAAATGGCAGCAAGCCAAAATATAAAACACTAGATCAGCAAGTAGTTCAGTGACACCCTGGAAAAATGCCACATTCTCCAACCGTGAAACTGCCAAGTACATGGGACCCTCATTGAGATTAATGTGTCCAATCATATACCTCAGAGCTATTATTTCTAACAATGAAGCACAACCTGCTTGGATCTGCAGACAGTCTGAAATAATACATCAAGCCATGACTGTCTGGAAGCCTGTTCATCACTCCAACAGTAGGAACTTCCAGAGAACAAAACACAACCGTCAACATGGCACTCAGTAACAGAGAGACAACATTGCTTTTATTTTTATCTCCTGATGTTTTTTGAAGAACAGGATGTTATTCCAAGCAGAAAGAAACAAGAAAGCCAGTCAATACCTACCCTTGCCAATGGGTCCACATAGATTTTGGTGTAAAACAGCTGATCGTCATCATTATCCTGCAGATTCCATTGCTGCACAATGTGATTTATATATGGAGCATAACCAATAAATCCTGCAATATCATACGCACATATAAGTTAGTTACCCATAAAAAGCACTACTCTGCCAATGCTGTCCACCAGTCAGGAACTTCATTCTGACTGTTTGGTGCTGGCCAAATTCATATAACTTGACTCAAAATCCAGTTTTCTTCCTGTGATATATACCAGTTCTGTTTTTAGAATTCATAATTAAGGGTTATTTTTATATTAATGCTATTTTAAGGAGGAGAAAAAAAAAAAAAAAAAAAAAAAAAGATATGTTTAGGATGGTCCAGAGAACTCCAAAGCATGAGATTAGACTACTACTATTCCCAGGAAGCCCATCTGTGGAAAAAGTTTTCATTTTCATCAGTCACTTCTTGTCAGCAAAGAAGTCTGAATCTAAGACTGCCAGAACTACAAAGATAATTCAACTTAAAACCAATATACATCATGTTTAAATCAAAACAAAAAAAGATAAAGCAGACAGGTGAGGTAAAGAAGGGAGGGAAAGGACTGAGGACACTGCCCAGCACCATGTATCTAGGAGAAGTGACATACTGTGCTCTGTAGCAGTTAAACCATATCAGTGTCAGTGTATGTATTAATCAGATGCAAAATTATTATTAAAGTTGGCATTTAAAGGAGGACTCCGGAATTAACATGCCATTGAGAATAACAGGAGTAATTTGCACTTCTCTTGGAATGAATCACCTAAGCCATACTGATGGGCCAAGCAGAGCTACCAGCACATCTACACTGTAGGCAGAGATCCCCAAGAACAAGGTAACCAAGTCAGGAATTTCTGTGACCCAGCTAAACTGCACCTATAAATACAATGTACTGCTTTGACTGGACCTGTACACTAGATTGTTTCTGAAGCACAATCAGTGGCAATTGGGTCAACCCTGCACAGCATTTCATTGCAAGGCACAGTAGCTTGCTAAGCTGTCATTTTACAAGCAATTGCCAACAAATACTACTTAAGTTTGAATGAAAACTATTCTTGAGCACAGAAGAGTGGGGAGGGAGAGGCGAAGAGGGGGACAGCAAATACAGTTCTCAATTTTATACTTGAGGAATTCAAGAACAGCTCCACATACAAATAGATAAAACAGATAAGTCATTGTGATAGTTTCACCAGGCCAGCCCTTGGCTAGCAGCCAACACAGCCGTTTACTCACATCCCCCCAACCCCCAGGGGATAGGGAAGAGGACTGGGGGGCAAGGACAAGGAGGTTTGTAGGGTGAGATAAGAACAGTTTAATAACAGAGAGAAAACTTAAAATAATACTAATATTAAAATAGTAGTGAAAATGATAACAGTAACAAAATATGCAAAGGAGTGACACCCAACGTTATTGCTCACCCCCCGCTACTGACCGAGCCCGGCCTGTTCCCAGATAACAATCCCAGAGGAGCGACAATCCCGAACCGAAACCACAATCCCGGAAGCACGAGAGCCCGAGCGAAAGTCAGAGAGAGCTAAAAGGGGAAGAGATTCTCACTAATATAGTAGGCATGATAGCATTCCATATGATATCATTCCATATGATATGGAATACCCCATTGGCATATCTAACTGTCAATTAAGTTTATTAATTTAAATATTCTTCACCCCCTTCAATCTTGTGCTTGTGGACTAACAGAACACAAAGTCCTTCACTTCCAGTGACAAAAATGCAAACACTGGTACGTTATCAGTGTCTCTCTCATAGCAAATCCCAGGCTGAAAGCAAAACACAGCACAATTCTAGCTACTGAAAAAGAAACCCAGCTCCATTTCAGCTAAAAACCAGGATAGTCATCTTCAAGTTCAAGCATTTACTGTGTTCAAGAATCACACTTGCCTCCTGAGTTCAGGAATCGTTTCCCACTCCGGACAACAGGATACTTGTCAGCTAGCCTTTTATCTGGCCAAATTAATCCATCTGCTGCAAACACCACTTTATGATTAGCTTCCTGAAATTTCTTCAGCAGTTCTTCAGGGCCCCCCGCAAAGATAACATCATAACTGAAAATAAAGAAAAGATATCCTTTAGATTAGTTTAATTTCAATGCTTCTGTGTTCAAAACAAGTGTTTGGACTATTAACACTTTTAAAATCATATAGACAGCCCTTTTTTTTTCTCTGAAAAATTACTCACTAAATCATGTTTTACCACCATGTAAAAATCCTATATCCTTTTAGAAGAAAAAACTTCAATCAATACTATTTATCCAATACAGTTTCTACTTCTATTCACTTTTTTTTTTTTCTTTTTTTTTTAACCTTCCTCATTTTGGACATTTTCCTTCAGATTTTGTCTACCTGATACTGATTGTCACATTTCATGTATTTTGAGTAAAAAAATATATATTTCCCCCTTTAGAAAACTGTTTATGTGTTTAAGAACAACAATAATAATAATAATAATTAAAAAAAAAAAAACAACTTAGCAGATGAAATAGAGAAGGACTGAAAGACAATTTAGGTGACTCTCACCAGGAAACTCCAGACAATCTTGTTCCACAGCACAACAGCACTGACTTTCTTCTGAAACATCTTATCAAGAATGTACTTGGATATTTCTCAGTAAAGCCTAGTTGCCCACAAACTTAAACTGTGTTGTATCCTGACAATACATAGATTTCTCCTTCAATCTCTTTAATATCCTGAAGACTTCCGAAGGCTCTAAACTTCACGTTATCTATTTACCAAAAACTTCACCTGCCTTTAGGTGTTCATCAGGTTTGACTCCCAACTCCTTTTGGGGACAAAGACCTACATGTGGAGGGCTCATCTCAAAAAACAGCAGTTACCCACAGCCAAAGGTCAACACTACCCCAAAACAGAAAAAAAAAAAGCACAGATTTGGCAAAGGTCATGTAAGAATGTAGTATCACAAGCCAAGTGGTTTGTTGTTGATGAACTATATCTAAATCAATACCTCTGTTGGGAAAAAAACAAACAAAAAAAAAACCAGAAAAAAAAACAGATAAAAACAACAAAAACCACACCACTACCACAACACTACAACTGAATATATATATATATATATATATATATAAAAATAATTATTCAGAGTATATGATTCCTTTAATTGAGATCTACACATGAAAGCATTAATGTGCAAATCACTTCAAAATTCATTTTACACAGCATGAAACCATGACACAGTAATACTGGAATCATGTCTTAGATTAGTTTCTGGGTGAAGAAGTAGAATATTTGGATTTAATGGCAGCATCTCAGCCTCACAGCTTCCTTATCTGAATACAAGTATATTCTTATTCTACACATCTACCTTAGTAACCGAAAATCATCAGCCCTGATAGAGGGTAAAGGAATGGTACAGCTATCAAAAATCAAAAGGTCTAACCTTGACCAAGATTTTTTTCTTGCAAAGTCTTTTAGCTGGGCTAAGTAGGAGGACAGCAGTATCCCCACCTACAGTACACAGAATTTATTAACTTAGCAATAGTGCCAACAAATCAACCATTACTGACTTCTGGTACTTATTACAGTTCTGAAATTATTTAAAACATCCTTTCTTCAAAGGGGATTTCATGCAATTGGCCTAAGAGAACTGAACAACAGCTGGCTTACAAATGCAAAAGAGAAGATTTCTACCGCAGAGCAAAGTATGAACCCTGGTGAGGAAGTGTGTTACATAGTCTATATAAATTAAGTGGATTTCTGAAAACTCTCATTGTTTTGTTTTTCTGTAACTTTGGCAGAAAAATATATGAAAAAAAATTGTACATTTTGGAGCTTCCCCAGTTTTGCAAAAACTGCCTGTTTCTGCCCAAATATACAGGAATACAATTCTCTCCCTTTTCCATTCAATTGGTGTAGCCCAATTTAAAGCCACAATGAGCCTGAAGAACAAACAAAAAACAGGAGAAAAGTTGAAGACAGACAAAACCAGAGATTTGTCTGAGGCTTTAACTTAATAGCTTATGGCAGGCCGTGCTTCTGCTCTTTGATCAGGTTAGTGCTGCTGCTGCAATGACTCACAGCTGCGGGAAAGAACCAAACACCCCTGGAACATTGCTTTCAAGGACTGTCCTTCTGAAAAAGAAGGTCAACATTCTTGGAACAACACACTCAACCATGCTAGCTACAGGCTCTGCCTGTGAAAAGTATATGCTACTTAATACAGAAGTTTGCAATACGAAGCACAGTGCAGTATGAATCCAGGATGGACCTACATTTTCCACTAATTTTTATGGCCTTCTGTTTTGTCAAGAGGTGACTTACTGCCACCACACCTCCTCCTGGGCAGGACTTCCACCAGCCTTCCACCCCTCGCTGCCAGTCTCCCCATCAGCTGCTTTATGAGGCTCTTGCTGTTCTCTCCAGGCAACAGGAAAACTTGTAGAGTCAAACTAAAACCTATAAATCCAACATTAGCCTGCTATGATTACCTGCTATGTCAGATTATGTTCAGTCTATCCGGCACTTAAATCCTACTGTAAGGGAGAATTCATCTCAGGTCTACACCACTAAGACCATCACAAAACAGGTTCCAGGACTATCCTTGACAATTTATATGGTTATTATGAGTGATGCACATAAATTATTTTAAACAGGGCTTATTCAGAAAAAAAGCAGGCTGCCTTGGCAAGCTGAGACAGCTCAGATACTCTTATTTATTCTTCATAAATCCTTCTGATTAAGTAGAAAGGGGGGGGGGGGGGGGGGTTTGGGGGGGCGCAGATGATGACAAAACAAAACAAAACCACACAAAAAGCTTCCCTCCTCCTCTTCTGAAGCTGCAAAGCATCCTGGCTATGCACTCAGAGCTCCCAGCAACACAGGGAAATCGCAAGGGTGGCTTGGGTCCTCCAGAACTGAACATGCCATTTTTTCACCCACAACTTTAACAACAAGGACTTCTTACTATTGGAGCTGCAGCTTAAGAGCTCAAAATACAAACAAGAAAGGGCTTACTAGTAACAAGCAATTCAGGTCCCATATTTCATCTTATTTGACTGGACTGTTCAGCCACATGGCCATTTTGTCATTTACACCATATCCCCACTGGTACTACCTGTCAACCATTTTGAGAAATGTAAAAAATGTAATTACCCCTGACTAATTTAAAACAAACAAACAAAAAACCCCCAAAAAACCCCAAACAAAAAACCTGAGAGGCTTCAAAAGTCTTCCACGAAACAAAGAGATGGCTGTGGGAGTTCTGGATGAACACTCACAGCATCAAGCATTTTATCCAGTCTACACTGGCCATTAGCCAGTTCAATCTGAAGTGGTCCAAATAAATCAGTAGTTAGCTCTTGCAAAAACAAGCTTAATTTAAATAGCATTCCATCTGCAGGTAAAGCAGTTTACTATCTGTACCTAGACACAAACTATCCACAGAAGTTCAAACTATTTCCAGAATTATGAACCATGTAAAAAAATTGCTCAAGAAAAAAAAAAAAGGGCAAGAAGCTAAGTTTGTTAAGTAAACTGTTCACTAGAAATTATTTGCATAGTTACAGTAAGTAAACCAGACGTTTCCTTCCCCCTCTCCCCAAGATTAATATTCCAAATGCTTCACAATGAATATAATGAAAAACACTTGAAAAAGAAAGGAAGTTCACTATACTTGTCTTTTCCAAACTTACTGCTACCTTGATCAACTTTAAATTGCAAACCAGGGTTCCTGGAAATGAAAAAGCTCATTAGAATTAAAACATAATGCTAGAATCAGCAAATTATTTTTTTCTCCTATTTGGAATCAGTTCCACTAGCTTTAAATCAATATGTGTTTGGGATTATGGACCTCAAGAACTTGGGAGTCCTTAAATCCTGTAATTTTTTTTCATGGCAAGAAAGGTTTTGCATCTGCACTTCAACACACATGGTCCTCTGTACTCTCTCATATATGCCAGCACTCAGCCTGCCCCTCAAGAGAATAAATTATGTTGGAGAAGAATGTGAGCTATACCCAAATCCTGTAACAAATTTGCGTATTTTACCATATAGAGAGAAAACAGCAATGAATCAGGATAATTTTTTTTTAAGAAAAAAAAAAAAAAAAAAAGAAATTCAATGTAAGCAGCAAACATTTGGGAAACATTTGATTCATCTGACTTTTCAGCAAAGAACAACATGATCTCCCAAATTAATCTTAAAAAGTTTCACTTATTGCATGATCGGTAGGACAATGTTATGAACAAAGATGTAATATATTTACTTTTAGAAAGATACTTTTTCCACTTATCAAATGCAAAACTGACCAAGTCAATAAGAAAAAAAATGAAAAACTGAATGTGGACCTCCAAACTCTATGTTACTTTTACTGGCAATTAAGTGTACAAAGAAAATATTCAGTATAATAAGTTTCCCTTATAAAGATTGTTCATAAATTGGTTAAGATTATTTAGACATTGATTTTCTAGCTCTATCTTCTACTTATGGTAAGAGGTAAAATTAAAAAAGAAAACTGAGTAACATCTTTAAATTTGCTACCAGTTTAATAGGCTACTCCAACTTTCTACACTCTTAACTTATGCAAAACAGCTAACAAACTTTCCAGTACATACCACTGTCAGACCACTTCCCCTCCTGTATGATGTCTGCTGTACAAATCCTGCCAAAACTCTAACTTGCGAAAGGGTCCCTAAAACTCTTCAGCTGTCAAATTGTTCAAATAAATAAATAAATAAATAGATAAATAGATAAATAAAAGCAGGTTAAAAGCTGAAAGAAAATTCTGGAGCAGACATTTCACCAACATGACTCGGTAACAGCAGCACAAACCCATGCACGAACCTCTCCAAGCTTGCACTCAGCTATCTCCTCAAGGCTCCCTGTCTGCAACTGGGATTTCATGTCCCTGTTTCAGGACTTGGTCCCATACCTCCCTTGCAGGGATTCTTTTAGAACTGTGACTGTGCTCTGCTTAACGCTAGCATGGAAGAGCTCAGCGGCTGCTGTCAGCTGGATTCTTAGCTGCTCTGATCAAGTCTTCTCACAGGAGCAAAATAGGAGGAGGAGGGGAAAAAAAACAAAACAGAGGGAAGCAATGGAAAAAGTGTGATTTTAACATGTTTGAGCTCCCTGTTCTCCTCTGTCCTCCAGTGAGGATGTTCAAGCATAGCTGTATTATGAGCTATAATCTGGCATCTGCAGCAGCACCATCTCTCCATCCTTCCGTCACACAGACAGCCCAGGCAGCAGGGGTATCTGGCACCTAGCTTCTTGTTTCAGTTCTCTAATATGTAAAAGAAATTCTCCCGCTAAGTGCTTTCCTCAGGGGCCCATTTTCTGGCTTCCTCTATATCACTGTTACTTCATGGAATGAGATTACACTCTGGTCCCTACTGGTCACTTTATTTCTGGAGCTGCTTTTTTTCCCCCCTCTACATTCCACGCTCCCAGCCCGCAGTCACATCCTGCCCTCACCGCAGCCAAACAGGGAGAGGGCAAACACTTGCCTAAAAGCTTGTCAGCTCCCAGTAACATTTTTTTACCCCTCGAGGCAGCACAACTATGAACAACTCTCACATCTGTAAATCTGTAAAAAAGTAACGATAGCTCCAAGAACAATCTACTATTTTTATGAATGAAGAAATATAGAAGCAAACTCTCTCAAATAAACAGCGAGTGGGAAACACAGCGTGCAACTTTCAGCGTGTCACAGCAGCTACTTTTGCATGCCTATCCAGACTAAAATGTAAACAAGCCAGGTTTGCTTACCATTCAACAAACATTACAACCAAGTCCTCTTGATCAGCATAGCTTTCCATGCCTTCTTTCAGTAGTCGAACTTTCTGCCCTCCGCCAATAGAGTTAGGCAGCTCACCACCTTTCCACTCTTCACCTTTTCCAAGGACCTAGAATAAGAAAAGACCACGTTTCTCTAGTGCCCAAAAACAAGAGGTTTTTTAAAGCAGACCCTTATTGAAAACAGATGTTAAAGCAGAAGCAACACATTAAAGCATAGCAAGCCAGCATTTCCAGCATCATAAGTTTTCTATGTCTGAAGCAGCATTCAGCACAATGACATCACTGCAAAAACATGAGAGAGAATTTCTTAACCAAATAAGAATCAAGCAATTGCCTGCTACCATATTCATTTAAATGTGTCTCTTTCAGGAGAAAAAAAAAAAGTTAATAATTGTTTCAAAATTTGTATTAGAAAAACATTCTGAATGAGACCTTTAAAAGGCAATATAATCACTTTAGGAACAGGAAGCGTAAGAGACCTTGGTGGGTCACGGTATTACTAATACAAATTGCAAGCTCCAGTCTTTCTGAAATCACACACAGACACACACGTACACAAATCCCTCCAGAACACTTTTCTACAAGGAAAGGTTCCCCAATATACAGCTGGCTACTAAAATTAGTGAAACAGAACTCCTCGCTAGCTAAGCACTATAGCAAATTACATCTCAAAAAAAGAAAAGAAAAAAATCCTTAAACTTTTGTGGGTTTTGAACATAATATTTTTGGAACTTATAAAACCTGGAAGAACTAAACTACACAATCTTTTGGACAAATCTGCAAAGCTACTAGATGTATCCAGAGTTCAGGCTTCTTGGTTGCTTTAATACAGTATTATCATATTGGGAAAGGTTCTCTCAGTCTTCTAACTTCAGTGGTAAAAGTCAATCTTGAGTGACCAAAATGATTTCCTATTTATAGAGTATACACTGCAGTAAGCAAGCAGAAAAATTTCATAACACCATCTGAATTTCTGGATTTTCTCTTGCAAAACCAGTTTATGGGGAAAGTTTAGAAGGTTAGTGCCTTCCCTTTTTGCCAAGGTCATGTAAAGGCCAATCTCAGCACATGACATATGGAGACATGTAACAAGGCAGAAGAGACTGGCAAGAATGATAGAAATGTTTTGTCCTCTCAGAGAATTACAGGTTCCTGGGAAACATAGCAAAAC